GTCTTTTCACTTCGAAATCTCTTCATTAAAGTTTTACATTTCAATGCTTTCTTCACATTTCAAGCACTTTACATTTCAGAAAACTGTCATACTTTCCATGCCTTTACCTTCAAGCTTTATCCTTCGAACGCCTATTTTTACTTAAAGTCATTTACAGATTTCTTGCATTAAACGCTTTCTTCATATTTCAAACCTTTTACGTTCCAGAAATCCTTTACATTAACTGTTTTTATAATTCGAAACCATTTACTTGCCTTTTATGCAATTTTACATGTCTTTACAATTAACATTTATTCATGCAACTTAGTTTCGTACACGCACATTTTGATTACATCTTTAGACCTTTAAGAGAGAAATCGAAATAAGCCAAACACCTATACAACACTCAAATATCAATCATGAATATCTGTTCGATCATGAGAGTTACCCTAATGACCAAGGAATCCTAGGATCAATCTAGTCGATCCTGTGAGTTACCAGAGGAATTGAATAACAGTCAGAAAGATTATTCGATAGTTTGGAAGACTAGCGGTTGTTTACCAGAAATCACTGGAAACACTTCCGAAGACGAACACTCGAGCACCAGATAAAATCATATGAAAGACTTCATACTCTCATAGAGGAGGACAAAAACTTTGCACTCCTGGTTCAACACACCTTCTGGACATATCTGAAGGTGTGAAAAACATAAGAAAGGGGGGTTTCAATTGGGTTTTTAAAACAATAACTATTCATTTCAAAAATATTTCCCTTTAAGTTAAAATTCTTTTTTATTCACTCTTGATAATAACAATAAGTAAGAACAGAAAGTAAAGAACAAAGTATGTTTATACTAGTTCACTTGAAAATTATCAAGCTAGTCTAGTTCACCCGCCAAGGTAATTTCTCCTCACTCAATCGAGGATTTAATTCACTATAACCAAACTGATTACAATTTTCACAAGCTACCCGCAAGTGACTAACAACCTCTAAGACTCACAAGCCCTAGACTTCTTAAGGATTCAGATCTACCTTGTTCTTTAAGGAATATCAACTAATAATCAACCTGATTATTATAATGCACAAGCTACATTTGAGGGACATTCAAAGTGACGTTTCTACAGTCACAAAGGCAATTGGACAAGAAACTTTAGTAACTACCCTAGGGTTTTTAAGATCATACCGAGGAAACATCGAGAGACTTATGATCTTTAAACCGGAGGGTAGCCACTAAAATCTCTCACGTTTCGAGAGATGTGACTGTTTTCCGAAGGCAACCAAAGTGGGATACCTTAGAGGTGTATATGTGAGAGTGTGTTGTATTCAGTTATTTGTCTTGTGTTATGTTTGCTAGCGTTTTGTTTGTTACTCTTGCCATACAATCCTAATTAACATACATCTAAACAGTTAATAATTTGCGGTGATTAAAAAGTGCAAAAATGTAAATCTAACTATTACAAGGCTCCAGAGAGGGGGATTAATTACATGTCCAAAAACTTGGGGGAAATAAAGTAGTAAAGTAAAGTACTAATTATAAAATCCATTACATCCCATAAGCAGATACATTAATATAAAAATGATAACGAAAGCAATAAACGTGCGCGAATTGAAAATAACGTCTAAATCCTAAGTGAAAGGAAATCATTTTGTGTTATTTTATTTTATTTGGAAAATATTAAAATTAGACTAGTTAATTGAAAGAAAAGAAAATTTATTAATTGAAAATAATTTTAAACAAATCTTTTTTTTTTGTTGGAATTTTTATTATGCAAACTAAGTGAGTTAACCTAAATCTATTTAATTTTAAATTAAAGAAAATGGTTAAGTAATTATTAATAAATTTACAAAAATTAATTTAATAAAAAAAACTTAAAACTATATTTTTTTAATGATTTTTTTTCCTAATTTTATATTGTTATTTAAAAATAAAAAATGATTAAAAGAAATAAACAAATAAATAAAAGAAATATGAAAATGGGCCTGATAGCAAAAGAGATAGAGGGGGTATAGTTTGCAAAACGCAAGCCCAAATCAAGAAGAGACCCAGGTTGCTTTTCAATCCAATGAGGGAGGTTGTAGAAAGTGCATGATGGACTGCACGTTGAGGGCACTGGACCTGGATTGACCAACATCTGAAAGTAGGGGAATGATGGTGCACAGTGCACTTCTTTGATTTGGGAACACTGGATCTGCAGGAAACTTATTAGAAAAACAAAATTCCAGACATGGGTTCGAATCTGGTCTTGGATTCAACAGATCGTGGCTATATCATCTAGTTCAAGCCACAATCCAGATTGTGCCCTAAACCTGGTAAATCCCTAATTCTGCATCTAATCTCTCATGTATTACGTTAGAACAAATCAAAATAATGATATAGACAAGAATATATGTGTTAAATTCGTTTGAGCTGTATGTATTAAGAGATTCAATATGGAGAGTTTTACCAAAGTGAAGCAATTCGATTGGCTAGCTTCTAGGCACTTCAAGTGTGGATATGGACTGAAATAAACTCCTGGGAGTCTCAAGAATGCGAATGCAACACTGGTTTGGATGGAGGAAGGATTTTGGGAGTTTCACAACTTTGATGATTTTTTCGTGGAGCTTTGATAGGAAAATTTTGGGGTGCAACACAAGGGATATATTATGAAAAGATGGTTGGAAGTGTCTCTTCCGGTTTTCCTGACTTGGTTACTATCGGTGAGATAATTGAAGCGGGCATAAAGAGTGGGAAGATACAAGGGGTATCATATAATACCCCTTATGATTCAAAAAGACATGTTCCTAACCTCTCGCAAAAAGGGGAAGGATAAATTGATGATGTAGCCTCACAACCAAGGGCACCACAACCATTAATAACTCCACGAGGACACCGACAGGATAAAAGGCTGTAAAGAAAGTTTGACCCTCTCCCCATGCCTCACAATCAATTACTGTAGCATCTACTTGAAGCATCTTTGGTAGAGCAAATGCCTCTAGCTCCTCCAATTGGGGAACCTCCACCAATGCACGACGCAAACGCCAGGTGCGACTATCATGCCAATTCTCTGGGGCATACTATAGAAAAATGTTAGGCCTTCAGGCACAAGGTTCAGGATTTGTTGGATTCTCAAGATATCACTTTTGAAAAACCGAACACCAAGACGAATCACATGCCTCCACATGGTGGTTCGACTGTAAATGCAATTGAGGTGGTCACTGACCATGGAGGGGTCAAAGAGCAGTTTCCTCCCATTCAGGAAGTCTTTATCAACAAAGGGGTAGAGCATAGTGGACAAGTAGCAATGACATCCAACAAGGGCAACATCAAAAGGGGCATCTGACTTCATCCATGAATGTGCCCCAGACAAAGAACTCAAAGAACTGGACATCTATGGAGATTCCCTGTATCATTTTCTTTCTAAAGTAGTTTTTCTTGTTTTTGAAATAACCTATGTCAAGCTCGAGGCATAGGGGTTGCTTGTAAGGGTCCCCCATTTTGTTTCAAACAATATTCACGATTAATAAAAGTTATATTTCACATTCAATTAAGATCTCTGTCTTTCTCTTGCATTTATCCCTTATATTTAAAATGACAATACTTCTCTCCATGCGCATTTTCAAAATTTACATACTAAAAACTACACCAAAACATGATAAAAGTGCAGATCCATGCCTAAAACACCGATATTGTTACTGCTGCTATCCAATATAATTTTGATGCACCCATCAACCAAGTTGAAGAGGAAGATGATGAATATCATGAACTTACTAAAGAATTGGAGAGGGAGATAGAGAACTGATAGTATACAACCATACCAGAAATCTATTCAGACCATTAACCTTGGCACAGAGGAAGATCCGAAAGAAATCAAGCAAGGCACAACATTGGAGAAAAGCATCAAAGGAAGGTTGATCAAGATATTACGTGAATATGTGGATATATCTACCTAGTCTTACAGAGACATGCCAAAATTGGATACAGACATTGTGGTACACAAAATACATCTCAAGGAAGGTTGCTCCCTGGTTAGACATGTCCAACGAAATTCGAGAAGAGGTCCTCAAACAATTTGACGGAGGGTTCTTAACGCCGATAGATTATCCACCTCAGATAGCTAACATCGTGCCAGTACCCAAAAAAAAAGATGACAAAGAATGTATATGTGTAAATTATCGGGATCTGAACAAAACAAGTCTCAAAGACGATTTCCCATTACCTCACATATATGTTTGGGCGGACAATACAACTCAAGCTTCGGCATTATTATTCATAGATGATTTCTCAGGCTATAATCAAATCAAAATAGCACCCGAAGATATGGAAAAGACTACTTTCATGACACTTTGGGACACTCTCTGTTACAAGGTAATGTCATTCGATCTGAAGAATGCAAGTGAAACTTATCAAGAAACAATGGGTCCAATATGAACAACAAAATGATGAAAGTTAAGCGATAATTTTGAGATCGAACATCATAAATTCTTTACCATATCAATCCAAAATGAGCGGAGCCATTGAAGCTTCCACAGATTTAATGGTACTAATAATTGGAAATCAAATAATATTTCTTCATTCCTTTCACAGAAACAGAAACTAAATCAAACGCATATGAATTTGGATTGTTCATAATCAATACAGAATCAGGATTATTAGGATATTACAGACAAATTAAAGCTATTTCCAAATTCATATATCTCTAAGAAAGGCTATAAAAATCGTGACATAATAGAAAAAAAAGGAGGACAAAAAGAAAAGAAAAATGATAGCTTCACTGTCATTATCTTTAACTTCCTTCCATACATCCACTGCCATATCTCCAAGCTTATTCCATCTTTCATCCGTAAACCCAATCAACTTCGTTCGCTCCCAGTTGCTTCATCCTCTCCCTCCATCACTGCTATTTCAATGTTCACAACCGAAAACCCACATCATCCTCCCTTCACTCATTATCATCATTTGAATATCGAACTCCAATCTCCTGCAACCGCCGCCAAACCCGCGTCTGAAGCTTCTCCGCCGCATCCCACGGATCGAAGCAACCATGAACTCCGATCCCAGCAATCTCCGTCTCCCTTCGGCGACGGCGACTCTTGACGAAACTCCATCCGTCGATCGCCCAACACCGCCACGCCACAGATCCCGACGGATCTCCGACCGCACCTGTTGCAACCCACCCGACTATCACACTTCGTCTCCCACCATCGATTCACCGTGCCAGGTTATTCATATTGTTTTTATTGTTTTGGGTATTATGCTTATTGGGTTTGGGTTGTTTTGAATAATATAGAAAGATGGAGGTCATCATGAAAAAGAAGAGAGAAGAAACGTTGTTGTAAGTGAGAAAGAGGAAATTTTGTGTGAATATGAAACCAATGACTTTTTTTTATGTGTAAATTATATATATATATATATATATATATTTTTTTTATAATAACAAATTCCATGTGTAGGGTTCTAAGTGGTTATAAGGTATAAAAAACAATGATAAAAAACTTTCCAATATGGTGGTGTGTGTAGTCCGCCTCCTCCTTTCTTTTATGGCACACTATGCATATTTTATATTTTTGTCATATTTATCAATAGAAAATTAGGGTTTAGTGATAGTAATGGGCCTTGGGCTCAAATTCTCTACTCTTTTACTAACTTCACACCATCCCCAATTCATTAGTGCGCCCTTTTATTTGTTTAAATTATTTTTTAAATTTAATTTTATTAGACTAATTTAAGTTATATTAGCCATACAAAAGGATATCACAAAAAATTATTAGTATTAATAAAATTTGTACACATTCAAAAGGTTTTTCATAATTAATTAATTCAAACCTTCTATAATAATAGGATGTCCATCTTCGAGTAATTAAATCGATCAACATATTGTCTACTGACTTATTATTCAAAATCAAACGATTAAAATCTACTCACCAAATTCACCATCCGCGAGCAACACACGGAAAATATCTGGCCACGTGATGAGGAGACTATATCAACCTCCTTCGCTCTACGTATAAAAAATATTCAACCAAACACCAAATCTTTTTTTCTCGCAAATTAAATTAATTCGAACAATTAATTTTCGGAAAGGAATACGAATATATTTAAATTAACTACGCACTTAGTCTAACAAACCCCACCATTCACGCTCTTAGACTACGTATACGGGAAATTCAAATATATTTCATAATCCATAAAAAATACAAAACAAACCGCGAACTACAAAATGCGACTCTGATTTCTCCTAAGAGGATACGTAGGGATAGGATCAAAAATCGTGGCGAGTCCCGCTAAATAAAATTCAAACCCTTTTTCCCAATAATAATTAAAAACCCTATTTCCTAAGATCGCGTTTCTAAACCTAGTATCCTTGTGAACAAGGTAGATAAGGGGTGCCTAACACCTTCCCCTCATCTAGAACCGAGTCCAAATCTAGAATCTCTGACTTTTAGGGTTATTCATTTATACTCCCTTCCTTTAGGATAAAAATTAAGGGTGACGACTCTGATTTAAAAACCAGTTGCAACAACTTGATCTGATTTCCTAATGATCAGATGGTGATTATGAGAGGGCGTAGTGCGCGCTTCCTGGACATTGCATGCATATGATCTCATAGAAATAAATATATGAAAATTAAAAGGGTACCACTGGGGCTCGAACTCAAGTCCCTATATACAAATGACGTAGCGTGCGCTTCTTTACCACTGGGGTGGCTGTCCCATCCGGTGGTAAAACAAATTGCAATAAATTTAAAATAAACTCACTTCTGGATATTTGAAATGACTACATCTTCTTCCTTGCGCACGCCAAGAACAATAACTCCATTGCTAAATCTGTAACTTCTTTATTTCTCAACCATTTTCAAAAATGTAAACATGAAAGTTGCTTGATTTTTCATCACGAATTCAACCATATAAATAACTAAATCTATAAATCAAAGATGAGCACGAATTTTTGTTGGTACCAAATTAAAACCTAATTTTTCTGAAAGTTCAACTTCAAAATTCTCCACGAATAACTAACATAAATGAAAACTAAAGGCATGGTTAGCTTCAGGGAAATGATGTCTACATTTTTCATTCACAAAGTAACCATTAATGATTATTGTATAAGAAGTTCAAAATTGAGAAAACTTACCTCAAAATTGGAAATCGTGTTTGAATTTTGAGCACTCCTGGAGGTGTTGTAATGATCTGGATAACTTCACTGAGCTCCTAGGAAGCTATTGCAATGCTTACTTTGGATTGAGAGTGGCTGGATTCTTTTGGAGAAGTCAAGTTGCAGGTTGCTATTTTTGGAAATGGAGGATGGTGCAAATTTTGTTACAGTGATGTAATAGGGCCTTGGATAGGTTTTAAATGAGGTATGGAAGCTTTGTGATGGATTTAGAGTGAAAACGCACGATGGGATTAAGAGTTTGAAGTTCAAGGTCAGGATGTGCAACAATGGAGGTTTTGAATGCCAATTCTGATTCCAAAGTGTTTTAGGGGGTTAGAGGGATATTGAATTCGTGTCTTAGCTTGCAAACAACTTCTCTATTTATAGACAAGAGGTTTTAGAGGCTCAAGTAACCAGAAATCAAAGATCACATGTTATGGTTTTGAAGCAAACTTGAAATACATTTTTCCAATGCATAGTACAAAGGCTCATAGGGTGGTTGATAGGCTGTAGATGGTTGCTTCTTCACTTTATAATGGATTGTGATCAGAAGAAACAAGTGAAAAGCTCAAGAATAATGGACTTTGTGATTAAAGTCACTTTTCCAAAATGGAAATGGTAACTTTGTTCCATTAATGGAATGATCACTTGGGCAATGGCTCAAGCACTTGAATCACAGCTCAACCAGTTGTGTAAACATTAAATTATGGAGTGATTTTTAAGTTAGAAACCTGCAAAGCAAAATTTATGCTTCATGGCTTGAGATTGGATCATGTGTTCTTCATAAAAATGCCTTGTAATTCAAGAATGAATGTTCAACTTCATCTCTTTGAATCTTTTATCTCAAAAATGATCTTTTCAAGTTCTTGGACATTTTAGAAAGCTTGAAACATTATCTACAACCTTCATGTTGACCACTTTGGCTAAATCAACTTGGAACTTGGTGAAAATTTTCCAAGAAGTTGGGACAAAAATCTAACCAAACTTGTTGAAAATTTTCCAAGAAGTTGGGACAAAAATCTAACCAAACTTGTTGAAAATTTCACTAAGTGTTTTGTTAAAATGTCAGGACTTCATGGGCCTATATCTCTTAATCCAAGCATTTTTTGGACATCAACCCTCAAGGAAAAAGTTATATAATTCATCAAGATATACAAATTTCATGTTGAAAGTTTTCTTCGAATCATCTTGCATCTTGGTGAAAAATAGTCATGAAGTAGTGAATTTCATAAGGATAAAAACACTTAGAATTTTTCTAAGTCTTGGAAATCTTGACTTTTTATTGACTTTTCTTGACTTTCTTGATTCTTGATGATCAAGTTTGATATTTTGAAGGTCTTTATGAATCTTGATCTTTGAAATTCAATGTTGACCAAAAAGTCAAAGTTTGGCTTTTGTGTGTCAGTTGACTTTTCATCAGTTGATCCAAATTTCAACTATCAATTTTGAGGATGTTTTGAACCATGCAATCAGGTCAAGATATTGTGTTTGAGTCCTTAAGATCATGATTCAAGTCATTAGGCCATGTATCAGGTCAAAAGTCAATGATCCGTCATTCTCAGTCAAAACCCTAATTTGGTCAATTTTGCCCCTTTGATGATTTGAATGCTTTCCTTGAGGAATTATGATCATCCCTTGATCAAATAATGTATATTACTTCAAAATATTGATGTTGGCCAAAAATCTTGAAGTTTGACTGTATATTGATCATAATTGACTTTTTTATCCAATACAACTAATTTTCAGTCATCTGAGCAATTGACTGAGCAATTTTGAGATGCAAGACTTGAAACTTGGCATGAGTATTCTTGGAGGTCTATAATGAACCTTGAAAGTCATTTGAGGCATTAGAAGTCCAATTTTCCTTGTGAGTACCAAAACCCTAATTTGTGGTCTTAGTGCTTAGGAGGCGAGCTTGTTTGATCAACTCTTGAGAACCCTTGAGCATTTGAGATATTTTGTGAGAAATGTCTTGAAGAAAAGGGAGGGAAAATTTTGGGGTACAACAGTCGTGGTTGAGGGCTGACACAACCGACATCTTCGATGAATTTGGAGTTTATTTTCTTCATGTTGATAGTCGTGGTTGAGGGTTAATATAACTGACATCATCGATAAATTTGGGGTTTATTTTCTTCACATTGATAGTTGTGGTTGAGGGCTGACATAACTGACATCATCGATGAATTTGGGGTTTATTTTCTTCATGTTGATAGTCGTGGTTAAGGGCTGATACAACTGACATCATCGATGAATTTGGGGTTTATTTTCTTCATGTTGATAGTCGTGGTTGAGGGTTTACACAACCGACATCATGATAAATTTGGGGGTTTATTTTCTTCACGTTGATAGTCGTGGTTGAGGGCTGACGCAATCGACATCATAGATGACTTTGGGGTTTATTTTCTTCATGTTGATAGTCGTGGTTAAGGGCTGACTAAACCGACATCGTCAATGAATTTGGAGTTTATTTTCTTCATGTTGATAGTCGTGGTTAAGGGATGACACAACATACATCATCGATGAATTTGGGTTTATTTTCTTCATGTTGATAGTCATTATTGAGGGTTGACACAACCGACATCACCGATAAATTTGGGGTTTATTTTCTTCATGTTGATAGTCGTGGTTGAGGGATGACACAACCGACATCATTGATGAATTTGAGGTTTATTTTATTCATGTTGATAGTCGTGGTTGAGGGTTGACACAACCAACATCATCAATGAATTTGGGGTTTATTTTCTTCACGATGATAGTCGTGGTTCAGGGCTGACACAACCAACATCATCGATGAATTTGGGGTTCATTTCTTCATGATGATAGTCTTGGTTGAAGATAGACACAACCAGTTTCATCAGTGAACTTGGGGTCTATTTCTTCATGATGATAGTCTTAGTTAAGGACAGACACAACCGACTTCATCAGCGAATTTGGGGTTCATTTCTTCATGATGATAGTCTTGGTTGAGGATAGACACAACTGAATTCATCAATGAATTTGGGGTTTGTTTCTTCATGATGATAGTCTTGGTTAAGGACAGACACAACCGACTTCATCAGTGAATTTGGGGTTTATTTCTTCATGATGATAGACTTGGTTGAGGACAGACACAACCGACTTCATCAGTGAACTTGGGGTTAATTTCTTCATGATAATAGTCTTGGTTGAGGATATACACAACCGACTTTATCAGTGAATTTGGGGTTCATTTCTTCATGATGATAGTCTTGGTCGAGGATAAGGTAGATTCGACTTCATTAGTGAATTTAGGATTTATTTCTTCATGATGATAGTCTTGGTTGAGATCAGACACAACCGACTTCATTAGTGAATTTAGGGTTCATTTCTTCATGTTGATAGGCTTGGTTGAGAACAAACACAACCGACATCATCATCGAAACTTCGACTTCAACCTTCAAACCTAGCATTTTTATGCTAAACAATTACTTTGGTTGAGAACAGACACAACCGATAAAAGAATCAGATCCTATCTTTGATTTAGTTATCTAAGATTTGATCATCAAAAACAGATCCTCTGCGATATAACTTATTGTGCCAGTCTCCATGCAGAAATGTTGTTATCACCCGTTGCGTCAGTCTCCATGCAACAATGTGTGAAATCTATGATATAACTCATTGTGTCAGTCTCCATGCAGCAATGTTGTTATCACTCATTGTGTCAGTCTCCATGCAGCAGTGTGTGAAATCTGCGACATAACTCATTTCGTCAGGCTCCATGCCACAATATTGTTATCAAGCTTTTTCAATTATTTATCCTCTAAGTTGCGATAGATATGCGAATTTGCAAGGTTATATTATTCATCCCCTAGGTTGTGATGAATAACGTAATCCCATCCCTGTTGTCTTTTATCCCTTAGGTTGTGATAAAGGCGCAGGTTCATCCTCGTACTATTTACTCCCTAGATTGTAGTAAACATGATGAAGTCTGCAATATAACTCATTGTGTCAGTCTCCATTCAACAATGTGTTATCAAGCTTTTTCAATCATCTATCCCCTAGGTTGTGATAGATATGTGAATTTTCAAAGTTATATTATTCATCCCCTAGGTTGTGATGAATAACGTAAGCCCACCCCTGTTGTCTTTTATCCCCTAGGTTGTGATAAAGGCATATGTTCATCCTCGTACTATTTACTCCCTAGGTTGTAGTAAACATTACAAAATATGCGATATAACACATTGCATCAGTCTCTATGCAGCGATGTGTTATCAAGTTTTTTCAATTATCTATCCCCTAGGTTGTGATTTATATGCGAATTTTCAGGGTTATATTATTCATCCCCTAGGTTGTGATGAATAACGTAAGCCCACCCCTATTGTCTTTTATCCCCTAGGTTGTGATAAAGGCACAGGTTCATCCTCGTACTGTTTACTCTCTAGGTTGTAGTGAACATGACGAAATCTGCGATATAACTCATTGCGTCAGGCTCCATGCAGCGATGTGTTATCAAGCTTTTTCAATTATCTATTCTCTAGGTTGCGATAGATATGTGAATCTTCAGGGTTATATTAATCATCCCCTAGGTTGTGGTGAATAACGTAAGCCCACCCCTATTGTCTCTTATCCCCTAGGTTGTGATAATGGTATAGGTTCATCCTCGTATTGTTTACTCCCTAGGTTGTAGCAAACATGATGAAATATGCGATATAACTCATTGCGTCAGTCTCCATGCAACAATGTGTTATCAAACTTTTTCAATCATATATCCCCTAGGTTGCGATAGATATAGAAATTGTCAGGGTTATATTATCCATCCCCTAGGTTGTGATGAATAACATAAGCCCGCCCTTGTTGTCTTTTATCTCATAGGTTGTGATAAAGGCACATGTTCATCCTTGTATTGTTTACTTCCTAGGTTGTAGTAAGCATGACGAAATCTGCAATATAACTCATTGTGTCAGTCTCCATGCAGTGATGTATTATCAAAACTTTGTTTTATTCATCCCTTAGACTGTGATGAACAGAACCGGTGTCTTAAGCTTACTGTGATAATCTCTATGCGGTGGTAAGGTATTTTCAACATGTATTATCCACTTCCTAGGTTGTAGTAGATGTAAGAAATCTGCAATATAACTCATTGCATTAGTCTTAAAGCAACAATAGGTTATTTGTCTCTCTGTAATATAATTCATTGTGTTAATCTCTATGTGACAATGGATTACCAGACTATATATTATTCATCCCATAGGCTGCGATGAATATTCAAAATTTGCGTCATTAGCTCACTATGTTAGTCTTAAAGCATTACTGAGTCAAATTTCAAACTGATATTGTTTACTATGTAACTGCGATATAGCTTGTTGCATCAGTCTCAATGTAGCAATAAATTATCAAATTTTCAACTTGTGTTATTTACCTACTAGGTTATGGTAAATACGCGAAAACTACGGTCTTTTTTTCTAGGTATTGATGAATTGTTTGCGTCGTCATATATGGATCAATCTTACTCTTTATTTTTTTTACTCTCTACTCAAACTTTGGTAGGATGATACACCATCATTCTTGCCTATATACTTTTGTTCAAATTCTGGTAAGGTGATACATTATCATCTTTGCCTATTTTTTTCAAAACTCATGGGGGAATGTTGTACATCGTATCCTTATCTAGCCAACCATTGGTCAAATTTTTGGGTCTTCCATTACTTAATAAATTTCTGAGTTGAATGTGCGAGACCTGTGTATTCTCCCACCATCAATCGAAGAATAATTAAATAGGGGCAACTATCATACCTCAAATTTGCCCGCCTTGACGCTACGGTCAAAATTAATTTCAAACTTGGATTTTTATAAAATTCTTTTGATTTACATTAATATTTTGAGTTTTTATAAATATTCGTTCTCAAGTACAATTAAAAATATAATAATTTATTTCAAATTATTATATTTTTAAAAAATAGCAAATATTTGCACACCTTTCATATACTTTCAATTGAGTTTATTTACAAATCAGTAAAACAACATAATTGATAAAAAATAAAACTTGCAAGTATGAGGTCGTGAGTCTATAAATAGGACTCTTATTTGTCCTAAATTTTCATCAATAAATCAACAATCACCCATGACACAAACTCACTATTTGCTTTTACAATTTTTTTTGCTTTAGAGTTGTTGACTGTATCAGACAAAAATCTTATTAACAATTTTCATCAACAAATTATCACAATTACACATCTATCAACAAATTTTTTTCCAACATTTTCTCTTCGCACACTTTCTTTTCAATTTTTCTCTTCAAAAACTTTTGGTGTTATTGTTTTATTATTGACCGATGATTAAATTGAAGCCTCCCTGGAATTTTCAACTCTCTTTTTATTTTCATATCAAATAATGAACATGATGGTAATTCCTTTTAAATTTATTCCTTGAATATATTGTTTGATAATTATTTGTTTAATTATGTGTATTTTTCACACACAAATACACATACAAAATTCAGGCACTGTTCTTACCAGTTTTTTTACTAAAAAACAATAATACAAATTTGTTTCATTAGAGGCCAATACACACAGCTTTCTTCACGATTCTCACCACTATTATTCTACGAAAACCCTTTTTCACTGTGCATATTTTCCAGCCTTGACCAACTTCCATTCACATATTTTCTGCACACACCAACAATTTCTCACTATTTTAACTACTGTATAAACAAATTTTTTTCACTAACAAAAAACTTGTTCAGGCCAATTTGACATTCACTAACATCCACGGTACACACGCTTTTCACAATCAGAATTTCTAACTTTTGTTCTCATCACCACATTCCACAAACAATAAAATCCCTTCACTTTGGTTTTGAACCAATCCAAATCAGTTTCTAACCTTACCAAGACCCTCCAACATCTTTGTTTATAACCTGCAAACCCACATTAACAAAAATCACTGCAATTTTCCATTGTGAAACATCAAACCAATTCACTCACTCCAAGCGCAAATCCAAAAAATAATCTTCTCAAACCTACCATCAATTGTTCAAAATCCAACCATAACCTTTCATAAAATTTCGATAACAACCATTCTCCATCTAAACACATCAACAATGACCACAACCTGCAAATTGTTACCAACAATTCAAGGATCTGAAAAAAAAAACAGAACAAGGATGGTGAAAAAGAAGAAGAACAGAACATCCACAAGATACACCATGCACGCTTCCGATTCTGATTCCAGCTGAACACCGACGGACGTCACTGCCGTCAACTTCAGCCTGCTTCACCGCCCCACACTGATATCGACGTCACAATCCAGACCACCGGGGAACCACGTACAAGCCTCCTTCGCGAACAACAGCCCCGGATCGATCACAGACAACTCCTGCCGCCGCCATCGTGTCATCATGGATTTGTTGTCGGGTTATTTTTCTTACTTTTCATTAAGTGCCACATACATATGATAAGTTGTGTGTTTTGTGAGTAAAGTGATAGAGGTAGAAGAAACTAATTGGGTGGTTGTATCTTAATTATTTTTGTTTTAGAATTAGGTTATTGGTTTTTAAGTAGAATCTTTTTAGTTAGATTTATTTGACTAAGTTTATTTAGATTAAGAAAATTATTATGAAAAAAACAAGAGAAACGTATTCCCTTTACTATGCTAATTTAAATTTTTTTAATTTAAAATTATCTTTAATATCAAAAAGACAAAAAAAAAAACAAAAAAAATTCTAAAATATAAAAAAGGTGTGTATTTTATTCGGAAGAAGTTGATTAGATTAATTAGTTAGGCTTATTTCTAGGATTTTTGATTAATTTGATAAATCATAAACTTTGTATATAAACATATTTTCAAATTAAATTAATTTAATATTTTATATCAAAATATTAAAACTCGTGCAACTTAATAAATATTCTATTCGCGAATGACATATGACTAATATCTGGTCACGTGATGAGAAGATTATATCAGACTCTCTCTGCTCTATGTCCTACCATACTTTAATCAATCAATTAATTTAAAACAGCTAACCAACATAAAAAAAAAAAATTCAACTAACATAATCAAAATCAAGATATTTTCGAAAAAAGATTAAGGAGAATTACTTTCAAAATTAACTGTCAATTGCGTCTACGATCACTTAACTTACGACTCAGACAAGGTTCAAGGATAATTCGAAAGCAATTATACGCAATCCATAAAAAACGTCAATCAACACTGCGAACTACGAATTGGGGCTCTGATTCCTCATAAGAGGATACATAGGCATACGATGAAAATCGTGGCGAGTTCCCCTAACAAAACATTAAAATCCTATTTCCTAAAAATTGTGCTTACAAACCTAGTATCCTTGTGAACAAAGTAGATGAAGTGTGCCTAACACCTTCCCTTTGTCTAAGACCGAGTCTGAAAATCTAGAATCTCTAAATTTTAGGGTTATCCTTTATATTTTCTTTCTTAGGATAAAAATTAAGGGTGGCGACTCTGTAATTATAAAACCAGTTGCAACAACAGTCTGCTCCGAATGTATCCAAGTTTGTGCCAATGGAGTTCTATAAGCAGGTTAAAGCTGATAGTCTCAAGATGGAATTGGAAAAACAAGAGCATAATATGGAGCTTTCGTTTGTTGTGAAAGAGAATAGGAAAATGCTTCATGAAGCCAAACTGAAGGACAAAGTGTTGGAAGAGCACGACTTACTGAAAAGTTTGAAGAGTCCAAGGATTGAAGGTTTTCACACTTCCAATGAGACAAAAGCTTTGGTGAAGGTCCAAGCGGATCTCGCGAAAAGTTAGCAGAAGCTTGAGAGTCTTCGGGTTTCCAAAGACAAAATGCAAGCAAATCACAGAGAAGAAATCAAAACCTTGAAGAAGAATCTTTGAGAGGAAGAATCCAAATCTCAGCAAGCTTGCAAGCGGCAAGAGAGTTTGGAACAACAAGTTCAAAGTCAGTAAGTACAGATTGACGAGCTCAAGAAGAAAGATGATCAAAAGCTAGAAGTCGAAGCCCAGTTGAAGGGGAGAGGCACTCAATTGGCTCAAGTGATTGAATAATTGGCAAGGCTCAAAGCTCGGTTCGGGGTTTTACAACAGTTCTCAATTTTTGTTGATTTCTTTGTATTTGTTAGGTTCACTGCCAGATTTGTTGGACGAGTTCCTTTTGACTTTATCTGTATGAACTCATTGTTGAGAAATATTTGTATGGATTGTGATTTATTCTTATGATATGAGCAGTCTCTTTCTTCAATGACGATTTGTTTATGTCTTGTTGCCTTTTGTTCTTGATGGAAAAATCGAGGATTACCTTGGAAATTTTGAAACATTTCATGCATAATCATGCATTCATGCATATCATATCATGGCAGATGTTTCATGCAGGTTTTCTTATTTCTGATCTGGGTTTTCTTTTCAGAGATTGCTACTACAAACTCTCATTGTAACAACACTCAGAATACTTCCAAAAGACAAATAGAACAAATTCAGGCATGCGTTGTTGCTATGGCTGTCAAGATGAACACTCGTGTTGACCAGTTGATGGAGATTATCCAGAACATGGCCCGTTAGTAAGAGGATCCGAGAGCCTTAATTGTGAGGCCTACTGAGACTGTGAACAATGGGAATGAGACTTTGATCGTCAATCCTCAAGGGGTTGTTGTTAACAATTCGACCGACAATCTAGGTGCTCAGAATTTGAATGGTGCTCAGAATGTGAATGGAAATTCAGGTGGTGCTCGGAATTTGAATCTAAATGAAAATGCTGGTTTGAATCTTCAAAATGGTCAAGACGTGAACCTTGGTAATCCTGCTGGCAATTAAAGTATTCTTGTGGTCCAAGTTGTGGAGAATCCTCCTCCATCCACTCCGACTCGATAGAATAATTAGCAACATTTTGTTCAACTGAGGCTTATTCGTATTCTTGTGATGTTTGAATTATGTGTGACATTTTTTATTGGCATGTTTATATTGCTCTGATTTATGATGTATTACTCAATTAAAAAATATTATTTTTTATAATATTTATAAAAATAATAATTTTTTTTAACTACATTAGTTATTTTCTTTAAAATAGATAATTAACTTGTTTTTAAGAATATTTATTTTATATTACATAAAAAGATGTAACATAATTAAAAGTAAAATTTTTAAAATATGATCAATACATCTGAAAATTTGAAAGATATATATATATATATATATATATATATATATATATATATATATATATATATATATATATATATATATATATATATATATATATATATATATATATATATATATATATATATATATATATATATATATATATATATATATATATATAAATAAAAAAAGAGTATAAATAGAGAAAGACTCGTCAAGACATTACAACCATGCTGCCTTTCAAACACAAATGAAATGAAGATCAAAGTAAGACACTCTCAATGCCCTGCTGATTGGCATCAACCCATCCTTCAAGCCCTTCACTTATTTGTGTACTAATAATTTTGATGACAAGCTAAATGTTTTTGAGGTAACTACAACTATATCGCTACTGCAATTACACCAGCTTAGCAATATTTGTCACTAATTTTCTGCAACGTTAAGGTTAGCCACGACGACAGCGATTTAAAATCATGTTGTACAACACCCAAAGGAATTCCGCCCCTTGATACTGGATTGCAGAAACCTTGAGAGCTTTGGGAACCCATTTCCTGTTTCATACAAAATACTCAATAGCAGAAAGTATCTCAAATATTAAAATCTTCTGTGCTAGCCTGCTAGGATATAATAATTCAGTTCCAACAAGAAATGAACTATTGACAATTTAAATTCTGAGTTATGGTTCGGAGGGACTTAAACCAAGAAGATGAAAAAATAAATAGTTGAAGACAAATTAAATGGATGATAACCTTTTACTGACGTTAGTGTCATAGAAAAGCTTAATATTTCTTAACATCAAATGTTTTTCTGAAGCAAAGTAGATAGGTTCATACCTGAAACTTCATAGTTTGGTAGAATGGAAGTGAATCCTCCAAACCAGAATAACAGCCAAACAGAACCAGAAAGATCGAGAAAGCAGAACTGTTCGAACAAGGGAAGGAAGTCTCAACAAGAGTCTACCGAATATCTGAACTCATAAACAAAAACAATGAGGGAATTAGGAACAAAAAAATCGGCTATAAGAAACTACAAAACCGATTCACAATTAGTTCAACTCCAGTCATAAATTCTCCTTGGCTCGTTGCATTATAAGAATATGAAAAGCAAAAATAAAATATAGAGAGCATTAATTTAGACCCTTTTTACTTACATTTCCATCACCACTAGAAGCAATAATATTCTTATCTAGTTCACAGCATTGCTTTGTCTTTTCGTCAGTTGGTTCATCATAAATAAGATAAACTGTTGTCTTCTTCACAACAATTTTGCTTTCAAATACAACAATAAGCTTCATTATGTCACCTGGTTCTGTACTTGATACTACTTTCTGCCACTCTTCTTCATCAAAGGAGGCTAATAATGCGTCTCTCTTATACAGCTGAATGGTTTTCTTTGTGCAATTTATCAGCAGCAAAACTTTAAGGCCTTCTGATACAATATCATCTGGAGAAGAAGAATAGACAATGCACATGATTGTTCTCAAACTACGCTCATCCACCTGAGGTACTTCAAAATTTACAGAAGAATCGTTTTCATTGAAGGCTAGCCAATCAGGATGATTATCACCGGGGAGAAAACCAGACCCGTTTGGAGGCATTTTCTGTACATTCCACATATGTGAAATAAGAAAAATTATTCAGCTACATTGGTTCTTCTAGTTATAATCTTAAATAGTATATGAGAGGGAGAAAGAGAGAACCAGTAAAATGTTTTCTCTAAGAGTATTAGTGACATGGCAGTTCATTCCCATTTGAATCAAAAGCGATGCCAAGGATTTTTGTGAGCTTGAAATTCGAACTTGACTGAAATATCGAGTTGATTCCGAAGTCACAAAATTTGAGGATTGAGGTGTGTTTTGCATTGCTTCCAACTCCTCACAACTTTGGGTTTGTAAGTTATCGAGAATACTTGCTAGAGTTTGATTTAGTTGAGTGTCTGACACGCATTTCAACCAAAGATATTGAAGATTCGAAATTTGTTTAAAAGCAGATGGCAGACCATAGAAACTATTTTCTTGTTCATCTAAGAATTCAAGAGATGACGTGCCTACAAATGTTTGAACTAGGGACAAGATATCATCTGTTATATATCCTCTTTCCTCTTTCAACTTGAAAATTTTTGTACAGCCAGACATAATTAGAGTTCTTAATGATTTCAATTTATAGATGCTTCTTGGAAGTTCACAAAGGCCTGTACAGTCTTTCAAATTTATCAAAAGAATTTTCTTGAGATGTCCTATAGTAGAAGAAATTGAGGACAATCTTGGACAATCTTTGAATATCAACTTTTCAAGATTTGGCAAGTTTGAAAAGTCTGGAGTTTGTCTCAAGTTGTGAGAGTGGCTAAGATTAAGAAATTTCAGCCCCGCCAAAAACTGTAAGAAATTAAAATTTGAAGACATATATTAGAGAAGAAACCTTAAACAATAGAGAGACAAATAAAATTGATAAGACAAATTATCAAAAGAAGACTATAAGTCTTTCCCAGTGACTATCAAAAAAATAATTAAGTAGATCATGAAGAAAACTCTGAATGGAAGTTTGTTACTTCTAAAAGAAGGATTAAACGGTATCTCTCAAAACATGATCATGAAGAAAACTAAACTTGTACCTGGGACTTGATCCATACTCGTTCCAGATTGGAATATTTGAAGTCAACAGAAACTAAACGTTCTTGATAAAAATCTGGTGGTATATATTTGAAAGGAAACCCATGCCAAGAAAGCCATCTAAGTTCTCTTGAAAGAGATTTGTAATCTCCATTAAATTGTACGCCAGCAAGTTGAAGTAATTTAAGCTTATCCATCTTCTCAAATGTTTTAGAGTCCAAATAAGTTGTGGAATCCATTCTTGACATATTTAAAGTCAGTCCTTTGACATCTAAAGTTTTCTGTCAATCAAAATGAAAATAAAAATAAAAAACAGTTTAGATAAGTGGTAGTTTGGATAAAGATATCATCTATTTGGAGTAATTAGGCATTTTTAGCCCCTGAAATTGTAATGATTGATCAAATTAGTCGTCATGTTTAAATTAAAAAATATTGTCTCCGTCCCAAATTGTATCAATCAATTTAGTCAATTATTTCAAATTTTGTACCATAATTTTGAAGGTTTTATGACACTTTTACTGCAGTAAAATAGTATTAAGTCAAATGTATATATTTTATTGGTTTCAAATGTATGTTCAATAAAGTAATATTTTGATTGGAGGAACTAAATTGATTGATATTCTTTATTTTAAGGGACTAATATGCTATTTCTTAAACTTGAGAGAGTAGATAGACCTACATTTACAATTTCAAAGACTAAACTACCTATTTACTTGATCTATACTCCAGTGTCTTTGTGACGACAAATATATACAATCAGCATCGACGGGAACAAAACACAATACAACAATTTTAGAAACTAAAAACCACATAAGAAGATCTTACACTATCCTTTGACAATGTATGATTCACGTCCTTGTAACGCCATAACCTACTAGGATTCTTGTTTCCCTCTCTTGATATCTTACCTACGATCTCTCTTCCCATGTCTTGTAGCAATTCATGCATTCCAATCTTGTTCTTGCTGTCAACAGTTACAAGACTTCTTTGAACAAGGACACTTATTCCAATACATGCATAATGCCCACAGTCTTCCAATATTTTAGTCACATCTTCTTTGTCCATCCCAATAAAGAAAAAAGCAATATTAAGGAATATTTCTTTCATATCATAATCACTTAAACCGTCAAAACTTATTCTAAGTTTTTCTAACACTTCCTCATTGGGAATGCATTTTAGTTTCTCCAATACACTCTTCCACTCTATTTTGCTTCGCCTAGTCAACAAAAAGGACCCAATGACTTGAAGAGCTAGCGGCAACCCTCCAGAGTACTTAATAAAATCTCTAGAAAGGTCAGCAAAATCATCAATAGGACTTTGTTCCTTGAAGGCATGCCAACTAAAAAGTAGAAGAGATTCATCGTCGTTCATTTTTTCCATTCTATACACATGGTCCACCTTAAGCTTCCGAAGTAAATCATTGTCTCTTGTAGTGATGACTATTCTACTTCCTTGACCAAACCATTCGTGACTTCCACACAAAGCTTTCAATTGGTCCATTTTATTCACATCGTCGATCACAAGAAATATCCTCTTTTGCCGAAGTCTCTCTTGCAATATCATTTTTCCCGATTCAACTGTATCAATCTTTATTTTTGTTGTTTTGTAGATATCTGAAAGAAGTCGTTGCTGTAAAGAAACTTGGACATTATCTTGTTCCCAAAATTCCCTGACGTTTAGGAGGAAGCTCTTTGCCTCATAGTCGCGACGAATTTTATTATAAGCCGCTTTAGCAATGGTTGTTTTGCCAATCCCTCCCATGCCCCATATCCCAATCAGTAGAGAATCTTCTGACTGTTGGGTATTTAGTAGTTGAATAACATCTTGTACACGAGATTCAACCCCCACTGGATGTTCCGCAACGAATAAGTCTCTTCTGTCTAGTAACTTGGTAACATCATTTACTACTTTCTTGATATCCTCACTTTCATTCCTACAAAAGTATGAATCCAAGAGTAAGAGTATAAACTACTCCCTCCATTCTATTTTATAAACAAATTTTGACTGTTTAGATTTATCAAATTAACAATAGTGTATATGGACTAGATATATTAATTATTCAATAAATCTAAAAAGTTAAAATTTGTTTATAACGGAGAGCGGTGGAAGTATTATAGAACCATAACCATTATACAACATGTACGTGTATGAAAGAAGAGGAGGAACTTCTAGTGGAAAAGGGATAATTGTGTCAAACACAGAAAAGCCTAGGCTTGAATCTGTGTTCTCCTCTTGGAGATTCTTCATATGAAAACACTTTAATTTATTTAAGTAATCCCTCTATTGGTATTATATATCACTTTAGAAAGAAAAAAAAAAACAAATTATATGTTGTTTTACAATACCCGTGGATAGTTCTGATTGTTGGTTGGGCTGTGGCGGTTTGGGGTTGTTCTGGTCTCCATCTGTTTGGTAGTGTAGATGTTACGTTGGGTGTCGTCAAGAGTTTCAGTTATTTGGATTCTGGTGTGCGAGTCTGTTTCTGCAGGGTGAGATCCTGAAAAGGAGTGTAGCGGTTGAGTCCTGTGTTGGTGCGGTTGCTGGTGCGGGTTCGGCAGGGTGCCGTGGTGTTTCTCTACTGGTAGTGTCCTCATCCAAGCATAACTTTGGGTCATTCAGAAAAGGTCTCTCTAGTTAAAGATACGGCCATTATTGACTTCGACTTGCTACTCAGATTCTTTCTTCAATATCAGTCTCATTGAGACTATCTTGAATAAGTATCACAAACATGTTGTGTTGTTCCAAAATATTAAGCATATTTTACTTGAAAACACTGATTTGAGTAAACCATACTCTCCGTGAAGGCAAATGTCGGAATATCGGTTAGCGTTGATCTCTTGGTTCACAACTCACCTCCTCGCATTTTTACAGCGGCAAACCCTTTATTTTTAAGATTATAGGCAAAATTGAGTAGCTTGTTCCTCCTTTCTTTTTTCTTTATTTTAGTTTTGTAAAAAAAAAAAGAAATTTATTAATGTTACCTTACCTTTTATACCTTAAGTATTTATCAAATTATCATTCTCTCTTCTTTCAATTTCTGAATTTTTTTTATTAATATTCAAGTATTAAAATAATATTTCGCAAATAACCGCGTTTCGGAAAAAAAAACACAAATAATCATGTTTCAGATGACTCTCCAAAGGAGGAGCCATCTGAAATGGCGCATGCACCTCTATTTTAAGGGGAGGCGCCATCTCACTTGGCGCCTATGTGCTTAGGGCAAAAATTGAGATGGCGCCTAGGTGTATTTTTAGGGCAAAAATTGATTATTATTTTTTTGTCCGGTGCGTTGCGCGTTGGACAGAGGATCAATAAAATGGACTTTTTATTATAAAAAAAAATTGCATCCAACTGTATTACATTAAAATAACAGATTAAAAAACAGATTTAAAAAATGGATAAAAAAATATAGGAAAAAAAAACAGATAAATCAGTGATCCCCCGGAACCCGATAATGACCCCCGGTTCCGCATCCCCGTCCTCGCCTTTCTCGTGCTGGGTGTCGTCGTGTTTCCTGTTGCGGCAAGGTCGATGGCCCAGCGAAGTCAATGCGGTCCAGATCCATAAAATCAGCCAGATCTCCATATCTAGAAGATCCGCTTTGGTACAGTCGGTTACCCATACCCTCAAAGTTTGGTCGTGTTGATGGTGGGTGTGGTTCCATAGTGGGTCTGTAGCATTGATCGTCTGAGTACGGTGGATAGAAAGGAAATGGATCTTGGGGTGTTTGGTATTGAGGATGTTGGGTGGTTTGGTGATATTGTGGTTGATGGTAGGCTGGGCCAGTTTGTTCGTAATCTTCCGACATTCCCATATCAAGGCTAAGGCTGGATGTTGAGGGGCCCATATTGGGATATGTGGAAGACTGAAATTGTGTGTGGGGTATGAGGGTGTGCTAGTATTGGGATTGGTATTGTGGTTGGGTGTGAGGCATATCGGGGTATTGGTAGTGTGGTGGTGATTGTGGTTGGTTGTGTGGCATTTGAGTGTAGTGGTGTTGTGGTGGGGACTGTGGTTGGGTGTTTGTGGGTCTGTTTCTTCTTGGGGGTTGGTGGGAGGGTGATGGGTTTTGGGTTTGTTGATGGGGAAACGAGGGTTGTGCCCATTGTGTGCGTGGGTCAACCAAGTACCTTGGATGAGACACGTGCATCTCAGGGTTACTAACCGACCTGTACCAAGACAAATATTGATCAAAGTGTCGCATATTACCTTGAATAAGGAAAACCGAGAATTGCAAGACATAGCGGTGACGCCTCTGCCACATCTTACACCACTCCGGAGCGAAGTCTTTCCAGTTGGTAAGACCCCACTGGGCGTCGACCCTTTTAAGATGCCATGGGGACAAACAAGTTGGATCACTTGGTATCTCTTGATGCATTCCGAACTGCATCTTCACACGGTCGCTGTGGTGCATCTCCATAATGTTGAACCGAATGATTGCAGTCTTCGCGGTCCAAGTTGCTGCATCCTCCGGGTTTGGATCATGGCCCAAACCCAAATACGGTCTCCAGGCAAACTGCGATAAAATTTAAATTAGGTTAACGCAAAAGTAATGTATAAATAATTTAATTGAGCAAAAGATAAAAGCTATGACGTACGTCATCCGGGCCTAAGTGATCCAACAGATTGCGGTAGAGTGCGACATTGAATCTTGGATTCTTGCCGTAATCCATACCCCTCACACAGTACCTAAAGGAAATGAGAAACATTTTATTCTTAACATATATTTGGTGAAGAGATGAATAGTTATAAATGCTATAACTTGATGACTTACTTTGTTGCGTATGGGAAACCGAAAGTGTTGTTGTTGACGGGGTTTAAGGACTCCATCCTCCACCAACCCCAGGCTTGTAGTAAAAAAGCGCACCCATAAAATGTACATTTTTCCTTGACTGCGTTTTTGCACAAGGAACTGTATAGGTGGGCTAAAACTGCAGAACCCCAACTATATTTTCTTATTTTTTCAAAATTTCTTAGTAAATGTAAATACATAAAATTTACTCTATTTCCCGTACTTTCGGGAAATAAAAATGTACCAAAAAGTATCATAAGATAAGTTCTGGCTTTTACTACCCTGTCATTCTCGGAGGAATTTTCATTTAATTCCAAACTTGCATAATGACTTTTCAGCTCAGTGAGTAGTATTCCCTGCCCTCTCGCACCACCATCTTCTACCATATCCCTGCCCAACAGTTCTTCACACTGAGAGTTGGGTTGTTGAACCGACCCGTTCACGACCTTACCGTCGACAGAGAGACCTAGTAGCATGTACACATCCTCTAGCGTGATGGTACATTCACCTATTGGTAGGTGGAATGTATGGGTCTCCAGTCTTCGCCTTTCCAACATTGCAAGAATAAACTTCGAGTCAATGGTGCAGTTGGAGATCTTTATGACATGTCCAAAACCTGCGTATTCCAGATATGGGACGATAAATGGGTCGGGAGCCAGGTAGTTGTGCGAACGGATTCTGAATCTTTTTGTGTCCTGAGTTCATAATGTAACATGTGTAAGATTAATTAAGATGAACAACGCGTTATTTGAAGTATGAAAAATGTATAACCAAAAAAGAAACTTACAAATGCGGCAATATTTTCCCTTGTGCCTCTGTGAGTATCGCCCATTGTTAGAAGAGCCATTGTTTAAAATGCTTGAGAGTATAAAAGACTTAGGAAGAGATAGAGAGTATGATAGACTTATGAAATATTTTGTAGCAGAGAGTGAGACTTGTGTGGGTGTGAGAGATGTATCATATGGTATGTATTTATAGGCAAATAAATTTGATATAGTGGTTGCTTGTGCCTGCATGCCTGCGAAGTGTCACATTTGCATGCTAGGTGACAGCCTAGGGGGTTACACATATGCATGCATTCATGCATGTACAAAAAATGAAATGTGTCACTCTTGCAGGCTAGGTGGCAGCCCATGCATGTATCGCGATTGGACAGTAAGGGAGGCGCCATTGGACTTGGCGAAAGAGTACAAAAATGAATGGTGTCGCCACCCCAATTGCCGAATAAGAGGTGTCCTTTGTTGCAGCCTAGGCTCAGGCTACGTGACAGCCTTTGGGATTCCTTGCATTAGTGCATGTAAGCCCATTGGAGTTGATGGGAGGAGACTTACAAAATACATGTGTAGGTGCAGACTTGGGGCAGGCTAGGTGGCAGCCCAGGGGGTTACACATATGCATGCATGCATGTACAAAAAATGAGATGTGTCACTCTTGCAGGCTAGGTGGCAGCCCATGCATGTATCACGATTGGACAGTAAGGGAGGCGCCATTGGACTTGGCGAAAGAGTACAAAAATGAATGGTGTCGCCACCCCAATTGGCGAATAAGAGGTGTCCTTTGTTGCAGCCTAGGCTCAGGCTATGTGACAGCCTTTGGGATTCCTTGCATTAGTGCATGTAAGCCCATTGGAGTTGATGGGAGGAGACTTACAAAATACATGTGTAGGTGCAGACTTGGGGCAGGCTAGGTGGCAACCTAGGGGGTTACACATATGCATGCATGCATGTACACAAAATGAAATGTGTCACTCTTGCAGGCTAGGTGGCAGCCCATGCATGTATCACGATTGGACAATAAGGGAGGCGCCATTGGACTTGGCGAAAGAGTACAAAAATGAATGGTGTCGCCACCCCAATTGGCGAATAAGAGGTGTCCTTTGTTGCAGCCTAGGCTCAGGCTACGTGACAGCCTTTGGGATTCCTTGCATTAGTGCATGTAAGCCTATTGGAGTTGATGGGAGGAGACTTAC